ATATGAATGTGCACGGGGTGGTATGTACAATGCGTGACCAAGAAGAGTGCGTGCCGAGTGGCGCGCGGATTTTTAACCGAGAATACTCCCGTACGCGAAAAATCTGAAACGCACCTTTGACACGGATATTTCCAATCCGAACGTGTGTGTTCAGGTAAAAATTTTTTCAATCAAATTTTTATCCTTGCTCGTTCTTTTAGATACGTGATTTTATTTCCGAACGTTTTACCTGAGATCGTTTTATTTTTAGATTTTTTTTTAAATTAAAATGAACCTGACGAGACCTTTGAACTCTTCTTTGTAAGGAATCATCCGCAGCGATCTGGTACGCGCTTTTTGCGAAACGTGTTCCCCCTCCCCCGTGCACACATCTCCATCGTCGGTGGTCCAGCGTAGTGGAAATCGAGTACGTTTAATTTGCTCAGGCTGCCGCCAGACGACTTTTCGAGTCGAGCGAGCGATCGATCGGTCCCGCTGCGCGGAGGTGCCGCGAGGTAAATATTGGTCTCGTCGAATATGCAGCGACAGCTGCAGCCGGATGCACCTTCGACGCAGCTTCTCTCGCTTCCTTCCGATGTAACAGTAGTAGCAGCAGCAGCAGCAGTCGATTGCGGTTCCTTTCTGTCTTCCGCGCACGTTCCTTAGTTCCGTACGATTTCTTTAGTGAGACAACGACCTACGGTGGCCCCGAGCATCCAAGGAAGGGAAGAGAAAGGAAGATCTCCGATTTCGCGATTCCGAGATACCGCAACTATAGAGGAAACTACGAATCGATCGAATCACGCGACTTTGAACAGCGGGATCGCAAAATCGAGCGATATGAGAACGTAAGAATTATCTTACGTGAGGAGAAGCTTCCGAACGGAGATCTTCGATTTCAGATCTTTGGATGCTAGGCGATCTTCGGCTCGGTTGCATCAACGTTAACTCTGCAGTACATTTAACTCCTGTTAATTCAAACGTTCTTCTCTTTCTGTATTATAAGCTCGACTAGTAGAAGGAATAATCATCGCTAAGCTAGGATTATATAGGTAATCGACGCACACGTTCGTCGGTGCGATTTAGTGTTTATTGATATCCGTATATCTCCGCTTAGATTCCCCTTGTTAGACTGTATAATTTTCGCGCCGATTCGTCACGACGGCGACGGCACAGTTCACAGCCGTCGTCGGACGAATCGTCGCTCGCTTCGCGAATTGCACAAAGTGGGCTTCCGCGAGTTCCGTTCACGTTCGCGCGAACGAAACGCGACCACGAGGGTGGTAATGTTGCCGCCCGTTTTTCTCAACGACTACTCGATAATGAAACGCTTTACAGTTCCTAGAAAACGGCGGAAGCGATCTCCCGCGCCCGGCCACCGACGACGACAACCCGACCGAATTATCGCCCTTGATACCAAATGTTCCTTAAGTTGCGTCTTCTTTGCGAAAAATACTCCTGTAAATAGTCAACGTCTAAACGGTAAACTTGAAAACGCGCGATGCGGATTGTATCGCGAGGATGGTCGAATTAAAATGTGATAAGATGTACGAGATAAGAGAGAGAGGAGCGCGCGCAGCGTGCGCATCGATCGATCACCGCGGGGATTAAAAAGTTCCAAAGTGTGCTAAGCTCGAGAGGGGATTTTTAGGTTTTATTACACTCGATAAGCGCGCGATACGCGATTACGCCAGCCCGGCCGGCGAATTTGATAATCAGCGACAGAGGAAGGAACGGTGTGTTTGGATAAACTACCTTATTTTTGAAACGTGAATGTGATTCTGTAACTCTCTTTAGCGAGCTCCACTGATTTCGAAATCTTTCCGTACCTCTTTGCGGTTGTAAAAAAAAATCGTTAGAGCCGCGTTATCTTATCTGTGAAATTCACGAGGCACGACTCGTGCTTAGTAAATTTTTGGAACTCAAGCTGCTAAAGCGCACTCTCGTCGCGACGATTAGAACCGAAATGCCGGTTATTGCACACACACACATACATACACACTCGATGTATAACTGTATAAATATCGATATCAATCTGTCAGTCTCGTGTCTCTTTGATGGTACTTAAATGAAGCGGGGCCTCTCGGGCCTCTCCGTATTCAGCGGCGGCAGCGTCGATAATGTTTCTTTCTAAGCGAAGTAAATTTATGAAAAAAAAAGTATATATATATAAATATAAATCTCTTTTTCTCGTAGCACGTTCCTCCTTTGGCCCGTCGTGCGACTCGAGAGAGCACGAATCTTTTGTACATAAAATGAAAACGCCGCGAGTCGCGGACGCGAGGCGCGAAAGGTAATAATTAATTAATTGACGCTCTTGTCTTTTGTCGCAAGCCGACCTTGCGTATAAACTCATTGCTCGTTTATATGCGATGTATTTTTGTGAACAGTATTGAAAGTGCTACCGTTGTACAGTTATCACATGGTAAATGTACTAATGATGTACCTATAATGTACATAGATATATTTAATTAAAGTGAATATGAATTTGTGTAACCCTCGTCTATTCTCGTTATTCACGTCTCTCTCTCTCTCTCTCATTATGCGTCTTTACATCTCCCCACCTCCGGAGTGCCCCAGGATTTCTGACACCTGGTCACACATGCCCGCTCCATCGCGATGCGATTCCACGCCGATTAATGTCATTTGTCTCGCCCGCGCTTCACGTTAACTTATTGTTAGCGGTAATTCGGATTCGCGACGCCAAGTAAATTCGACGCGTTAATTTACCGAAAATTTAGAGACCCGGTTTCGCGCGTACGTGAAATAAATGAGAATTAAATTTCCAAGGGAGATGCTCGGCTCTCTTTCTCTTTCTCTCTCTCCTGAATTCGTTTCGTTATCTCGATACGTCGCGCCAGTGGTAAGGTCGTATCAACGCGCGACTGTTTCTGCATTTGGCGATTACGTAACTTTACCGGCTTCGTGGGACGTAATTATCACGCGAGGCACTCCGAACGCTTTTTTACGTCCCGCTATTTACGTTGCCTCGGGAGAAACCTGTCGATAGATAACGCGCATGCAAAAAAGTGCAAACGCAGACGGAACAGGCGACGAAAGGCGAAGGTGAGAAAATCGGAAAAAAAATCAGCTGCGTTTGCTTTGAAGGAAATATATACGGAGAAAGCTTGCACGCACACGAGGCAGTCCTAAAGAGGACGGATAAATCGATGGAAGAGTCGTAAAAGTTTTTATTCCGCAAAATTACGAAGATCGGAAGTTATGGAAAGGAGTCACGATCGTTTTCGACCCACGCAATGATGAAATCAATAGGTATCGCGAAATGCATTCCCGCAGTCAGTTCCTGTTAATCCAGTCATTTTTCCGACGCGACACAAAGCGACCGCGAATCGGACTTGTACGCCGAGTGTCGCTTTGACGCCGGACCATTGTTTAGTCGCAGATAGAATTGACGTTTTGGTGACGATCGCTCAAAGGCGTCCGCGAGTTCGCGGAAAATCGCGCGGTAGTATCGAGTAGCACGAGTCCCGGACGCGCACGCCATTTTTCCGATATTAAAAAAAAAAATACGCGAGACCGTCGGCGTGACATTTGCACTTTGAAATTCCGCCGTCGCGATAGGACGGGCGGAATTGTGTCAGGGTGATTTCGCGCACGCGACGCTGCGAGAGAGAAGTACGCGCGTTGCTTCTCCGTAAACGCGCGGCGTTTACGCGCGTCTGGACCTTTTTCACGTCCGATCTTACGGCGTACGTGACTTCGAAAGTCGAAACGATCAACGCCGATGTATCTCATTTTGCTCTACGTGCGTCTCACGCGAATTTGCAATTTTTCGCGCGGATGTAATAGCGCAAAAATAAGACGAGCCTCGGACCTCCCCAAAATCACGCGTTTAGACTGGTTATCTCAAATGTTAATATATAAGATATATAAAATTGATGATACATAAAGGGATAAACGGTACTTAAAATTGTCGTGTAAGGAATTAGTTCTTGCTTTTTTGAAATTTTTTTTACTTGTTTTTGATACCGGAGCGAGTCAATTTGTTGACATCTTAATTCATAAGAGTTCTTTTAAAATAATCTCAAAATATAATTTTTTTTCTAATATATGCATGCTAATTAAGTGTGCTGAAATTAATTTCTATAATAAAACAAAGAATATGATAAAATAATAATAAAATAAAATGTAATGATACTTTAATGACGTAATATAATATTAATTAATAATATAATAAAATAATTTGATGAAACTTTAATGACATAATAATATTAATTCATAATATAATAAAATAATTTATTTAAAATTTAATAACGATATTTGTAACAATTGTGGAAGATGATACGCGTGACACTATCAAAATTTATGAAAGTATACATTTACTACAAAATTCGGATATTGTGCATAATTCATAATTCTTTGGTAAATAATTACGTGGGCAATTTAGGGCAATTAATTATAAGATGAAATTTTTCATTGCGCTTTTATCGCTCCGCGACTATTATATTTGAGCAATTAATTATGTAATTGTCTAAATAATTAAGAAAAAAATGTTCTCGATGTAATAGCTTTATTCTTAATGTATAACATCTAAAAGAATTAAAATTTGTTCTGATCAGCATAATGAAGCTGAGTTTAATTAAATCAATGCGGGCGATTAACAGCTGTGATCTGTCAATCCCGTATAATTTTGACAATGAAAAAAAAATTCGCTGTCAATAGACAGGTACTTTTCCGTACCTAGGATTTATTCCAGGCGCGTTAATTTCCATTAACGCCGAACGATTCTGCGGCGCAGAATGAGACAACTCTTGATTCCCAGAACGCGCTCAGTCACTTCATCTCTCGAGCCGTTTCGGAATTTCGAAACAGATGAGCTGACGACGACCGCTCGACGTCCGCTGCTATCAGGAGAATTATGCAACGCGTTCGGCGATAACGTTACATTACATACGCTCTTCGGCGGCGAAGGGGTGAAGATGGCGGAAGGGTAGGAGGTGAAGAGCGGGGTGGTGCGAGCGCAAGCAAACACGATCTCGTCCGTCAGATGGCGCCTGCTCGCTGCCATTGCGCGGAGCGCAGTTCTGCGCGTTTGCGCCGTCCGCAGACCACCAGGGTGCCTCCAGGCCGTGTTCCGGACCAATCGATCCAATTTGTTTTCCTCCACTCTCCGGCCGAGGAGTCGCGCAATTGCGACTCATTCATTCAATAAATCCGGAGTTATTGCGAATTGCCCTCGCCGGGTGGCCGGTCGCGATCGATTGCGATCCATCATCAGTTCACGATGACGCTGCAGGCGATAAAATGGAGCATGGTGAACCGCCAGCTGGAGATCCTGGACCAAACGCTGCTGCCGGCGACGACCAGCTACGTCCAGATCAAAAGTGTCGAGGATGCTTGGCATGCGATCAACAAGATGCAGGTAGGTGCTTACTGTTCGCATCTACGAATGCGTCTTTCTCCATGTTTATCAAACTGATAAACTGTTCAGTTTATCAGTGATAACATTGAAAATTTCACATCTGTGAATGAAATGTGAAATATCTGAAACTATGTGCTCCTTCGTCTTGATGTTTACTGCGTATATCAATTCTGCACTTTCCTTCTCTGTTAACTCGATATCGAACACAATGTTATACAGTTGAGGATGTAACATGAAGCTTTAACTTAAGAAATTGATTTGTATTTCGTAGTATCAATGTAATTTGATGACCTGTCATCAGGTACGAGGCGCACCGGCCATAGCTATCGTGGGTAGCCTCAGTTTGGCAGTGGAGATTCTTCAACATCCAGGCTACGAGGACAAGGCGGCGCTTCGCCAGGCCATCGAGGACAGCCTGAATTACCTGTTAACGGCACGTCCGACCGCAGTCAACATGAAGACGGCGACCAACGACATCATGAAGATGGTAAATTGCATGAACGAGAGCGACGATTGCACGCTGGTCAAGATGAAAGACAGGTACGCTCTCTCTCGTGGCCCTGCTGCGCTTTTGGAGAAGGACATACGAGCTGTCTGATTTGTATCATCTTGCAACTTGTGTCGTAGTGTCATAGACCTGATAAATGAGATGTTAGAGACAGATGTAGCGGACAACAAAGCGATCGGGAAGCTCGGGGCGGCTGAGATTCTGTACGACGTGCCGAAGGAGAAGTCAGTCAGGATCCTCACCCATTGCAACACCGGGAGCCTCGCCACCGGGGGCTACGGCACGGCTTTAGGCGTCATCCGAGCTCTACACGAGATGGGAAAGCTTGGTAAATATGCAGTCTGTTTTCAAAGATTTCGAAAGCCTTATCTCTCGGCCGGGCGAGCGAGATAACGTTTCTCTCAATCGTTATTTGTCTTCTTTCAGAACACGTTTATTACACCGAGACCAGACCGTGCAATCAGGGCGCGCGTTTAACCGCCTACGAATTGGTGCACGAGAAGATACCGGCGACTCTAATCTGCGACGACATGGTCGCCGCGGTGATGAAAACGAAACAGATCAACGCGGTTGTTGTGGGCGCGGACAGAATCACCGCGAACGGCGACGTTGCAAACAAGATTGGGACTTATCAGGTATAACTATTTGTCATCTTAATGTATTTTAATTCGAAATACTACAGAATATTACGATTAGAGTCGCGAATGATAATGGATGATGGTTGTTCCTAAAAATAACTGGTTCACCTTCAAAGATATTAGTATGTATTTACGCGAGATGCGCGCTCACATAACTATTTTCTATTGATTACAGATTGCGATTCTCGCCAAGTATCACAACATCCCTTTCTACGTGGCTGCACCAATGACGTCCGTGGACCTCAAAATGGTCGACGGTGACCAGATAGTTATCGAGGAGCGATCTGAACGAGAGATGACTCACATAAACGACAAGAGAATCGCGGCGGAAGGCGTAACGTGTTGGAATCCAGCGTTCGACGTGACACCGGCGGATTTGGTCACCGCCATAATTTCGGATATCGGTATTTTAAAGCCACTAAATTTATGGGGGCTAAGAAATTATAACTTAGAACTACAGTCAAATTAAGATTTATCTCAAGACTTCCTATATTTGTTACCAATGTGATTGAGATGTTTTTTATGTATTATATTATCGCTTATTACCGGGTTACCGAGAATATTCGCGACAGCTTTCTTTAGATTAGCTGTCGAGACCTCATGTGCCGCCGATGTAAATATTCGCGGCCTTGTTTCCGCCGCGCATCTGTTTCGGCGGTCATTTCTCGGTATCGATGTTGTTTAATCGGCCTCTATCTTCTCAGAATAAATTGTTAATGTACATCCTCGAGTCTTTATCTCTACAACATCTTCCGCAATCTCTCACTCTTCCGGTCTAATTTTGACGTCACTAGTTAATCCGTGAATCCTTTTACCATCCCTTCTCTAATACACTCAACAAGATTTGATGTATGCGAAAGAGACAGTGATAAATTTGAATCGAAACATTTCGAGATGAAATATTTTTTATGAAAAGAAATAGCTTCATAAAAGATGTTTTATAAACACTTGTATATTCGTGAACGTGTGTATGTGTACTGATTATAACGTCAAGATACGTGACTAATTTAATCTCTTGAGCCATGATATAGTATCTGTCTAATATAAATATTCAGGAAAGTCAATTTCATTAACTGTATAATTTCGTATTAAGTTTTTTAAGGAATTTCTAAGGATATTTAACGTTATTGTTGTATCATGACAATTCCATATTGCTTGCTTCTAAAAAAGATTCTTTGAATCCTTTGAAATATCCTTTGAAGATTTATGTCTTATTGAATAAGATTGTATTACACACTTTCGCGTATATGCGAAATACACGTATCTCACAATGATAAGTGTATTACGAATTTAATGTGATATTAAATTGTATCACAATATACATGGTATTTAATTTTTTACAAACTGTAGAGGTAGATAAGCGTAGTAGAGGTAAAGTCTTCGAAAATTCTTTTAATAACTCAAGATTTTCATTTTTTGAAAAGTGTTTGAAATCCGTAATTTATCCTTGAAGGCGCGGTTTGACATTTTTCAAAATTCTTTTCACACTCGGCTTTTCAGATCTCGGCTACTTGAAATGCTGTTCACAAGTGTCGTCGTGGTATATCGACACGCCAGCCCGACGCGCGCGAGCCGCGCTGGGTTTCCTGCGGGAAACCACGGCGGGATTCTATTTTCGCCGTCCGAAAGACGCGCGCGGGATCTCGTCCGCCGTCGGGTTTCCGCGGCGCGGTGCTTTAGTACCGCCAGCCTCGTCGCACCGCGCGGAACCTGGACCTCCCGGAATAGTCTTGCGGCACTGTAAAAGTTCTTCGTCGAGCGCGCTAGCTCCCCGAAATCTTGGTGGCCGATCTTGGTGCCCGTCGCGACAAGCAAGCGCGGCTTGTGCTGCTCGTCGCCGCTTTTCGTAGATTTCGCTTCGCAGCGAAGATATCTACGGAGTTCCGTTAGGATCCCAATCAAGAGGCCCATAGGCACAGGTCTCTCGTTCGCCGATGGAAGTGGACACGGAGAACGTCGCGATGGACGACACGGACGCGCTGGTGCCGCTGATGAGAGCCGACAACGGCGGCGGCGTCGTCAACAATAATGTCAACGATAACGATGACGCGCCCACCGTTGAGGAAACCTACGAGATCACCACCACCAGACGCAAGACCATTCGCACCAGCTACAAAATTCAGGAGGTAAGCCGCTTGACGACGTATAATACACGACGATTGCCGTAACTGTCGAGCTTCTGCCGACGTCGCGTGGGCGTTTCGTGCACGGGCGATCGTACACGAGGGAGCGATGAGCTCAGCGTGCTCATAAACTAAAAGTGTTAACTCCAGACAAAAAAGTAATTAACAGAAACCGAGAAAAATGCCTATTTTTCCAGTAACGATAATTCAATATGATGCGTTATTTTAAGATAAATGTTGAAGCCCCAAGAGCTATATTGAAAGATCTAACACGGTAAGCAGAATTTAAATGGAACACTGAAAGTTTCTCAAATTGTATTCGGTGAAGTGAGAAAATTATTTTTCTTGGAAGAATAGATAGATTATTTTATGTATATAAATATAGAATGAGAGACAGAGAGAGGGAAGAGGATTAAACATTCCCTCGCTCTCCACGACATGGAGTGCCTTGCAATTTATTTCGGCGCGCCGTATATTCTGGATGTTATTCGTATCGTCCGGTGTATACCCGCACGATGGATTGTCCCAGAAGTCGCGAGTTAGTGAACTGTTCCGTCGGTGTTTATTATTCATATATACCTACGAAGAGAGAGAGAGAGAGAAAGGAGCGAGCGCAACGCTGCAACGCAAAATTCAACGGGCGAAATGCGTGAGCGTCGCTGCGTACGTAATACGATTTGCCCAAACAGCGGGGCTAACTATTGTTTATTTATCGTTCCTCGGCCGACGCGTCACTGACTCACCAATATACACCTCGTTATTCAGCTCAGATTACGCGAAACTCGCGAAAATCGCCTCGCCGCCGCGAGGTCAATTTTTGCGGATATCCCGCGCGGTGTGACGTGTATTTTTCGTTCGTCGCGGAGCGACGCGAAAGAGAGGATTCGCCGTCGCGATTGTCGTCCCACGTGAGACAAACGGCCGCGCGATCCTACGTCATTGTCAGGACGACGATTTTAGAACTGGCAAACGAACTCTCTCGTGGCGAGCGCTGCAGAAACGACGGCCGGCGTAACGTAAACCCCCGGTAAACGAGCGGCTGAGACAACCGTGTACGCGATCGGAACTTCCGATGAACGAACGCGTTCGTGATTTGCATCTTCCCCTTCCAAGACATGAGATCTCACGCGATCTCTTAACTCCTCTAAGTATATCTAAATCGGTGCTGTTTCGATCGGAAACGGAAATTTATTCCTCGAGATCTACAAAGATCTACGCAGAAACTCGTGAGAACGAATTTTTGACGTTATTACAAAGAAGTGTCTATCTGGAAACGAAAGCCTTTAATTGTCTAATTAAAAACCATTTCGCATAGGAAGAATAAATGTAAACTTCGTGTGGGGAAAAATCGACATTACGAGAGAGAGGAGGACATTTATCGATTATGACGACTGGTGAGAAGCGAATTCGAAGCGCGTCAAAGTGCAGATGCGACCGACAACTGTCCGCATACCGATGAGAATTGCAAAATTCTTGGCTTAAGCTCGAATGTCACTTCAACGGTGTTCCGCCGAATTAACGAAAGGACTCGTTAAGTGTGAATTATGTGACCGCGAGGCGCGTTAAACGCGGGGATTCGCCAGTAAAGTAAATAAAGAGGGTAGCGCGAACGATAATCGCGGAAAATTAGCCGCGAAGTGGTTTTTAAGAGGGGAAAAAATATCGCGCGCGCGGTGTGGAAGGAGGATTCGTCCCGGCCACTGTCACGAGCGCACGATCGCGTCGTAAACGTCAGCGACGGTTTTTCCGCTTGTAACGCGATTAGCGGTCTCACATTAAGCTGCTAAAGCCACGATTCCACATTTGAAACATAGAAACGGCGGCTTCATTAAAGCGGAGAGCGGCTAAATTGCAGTCCACTTTGTCGCGGACGGCACGTGACGGCATAAATTTCACTGGCGATCTGCTTTCGTGAAAGCGACGATCTGTTTCCTCCGCGGAACCGCGCGGACTTGATGAAGACGCTCGCTTTCCGAACACCCTGTTGCAACACGACCGAAGAAATTCAATCCGTGCACGCGGCTAATTTTGCGTTAGTGTGCGTTCTGCCAACTGCGTCTCATTCGCATTGCTTTACGATATCAAATTTGGAAATGATAAACAACGCAAGAGGTTTCGCACATTGTACGAAATCGTTCGTAGAAGAGTCGCGTAAACGAGAAATTATCCGTAGGAAAGTGCATGCATATACGTATGCGTTTCTTTCCTGTCAAAAGCAATACTTTGTTGACTTTACAGACGTTGTGATTTTGACTAAATAATTATTGTTATCTATCTCTCTATATTAACTGTTTAAGAACGTTTAGAACGTAAAAAACCTTGGAGACTCTGTGCAGACTCCCAGCTACTCGGCCAAGGCGATCGAGCAATAATTTCCCGCGAGTGATCTATGACTCTTCGATGATCATTCGCCGGAACAGACGATCGCCGAAGTCTCGTTTCGACCTCGGTGCTATTTTAAAAGTATACGTCTCTCAGCGTAACTCCTCGATCGCTTCTATCCTGTATAGCCCGCGGAAGCAGACGCGAGCGACGATTTATCGAACGAATGGCTGGAAATCAATGGCTTTTAGTCGCGAATGCTGGGCGCCGAGTCGCCGTCTCCGCTTTATAAATACGAGAAAACCGCCGAGTGTTTTCACGTTATGAAATTTTACTACCGACTTCCGGCGGCGGTCCGACGTCGAATTAGTCGCGGGAACGCTTGGGCGAACGAGTAAACATAATATAATGACGGACAGGTGAATGCGCGGTGAATATACGATACGCGCCGCGTATACGGAGAACGCGAATGGACGCTAAATGGATAAAGGATTTCGTGTTCCACGACTCGAACTTAATTGAATGTACGCGCGTTCATTTGACACGCTAACGTTTAACGACAAGGGACCAAGCAACGCGACGGCGGCGTCTCGCTCGGCGTGAATCGCCCCGACGACACATTATAGAAGCAGAGAGCCAGAGAGAGAGAGAGAGAGAGAGAGAGAGAGAGACGTTTTAACCGGCGCGCTGAAGGCAAGCGTAAAGTGAAAGAACGAGCAGACGAGTTAGACGAGTTTCTCCGTGGCAGCTGTCGCGCATAACGTTAGTGAAACGTCAGCAAATCATTCGGGGGTCGTAAACGGAACGGAAATCAATTTAAGCCGTGCTCGCGCGCGTACACGTTCATGCGGCGCCGAAGTTCGGGGACGTTTGTTGCTGCAATTAACACTCGGAGCTTAAGTCATTCTTGCTTTGGATTAATTTAAACGCGTGCGAGTTTTCAACTGGGTTAAATACTCCTGCGGGTATTACACGATGTAAATATTTGTTTGGTATATATGTATATTGAGCTAATATAGCTCTGTTACTTTAATGATCCAATTCGTCTAAAATTGTTATTGAATTATTTCAAGCATTTGAATATCCTGAATTTTGCTAATTATCTTAATTTTTGAATTTTTTAAAGATAAAAGTGAATTTTTTGAAAAAAAATCTCAAGTGGCCAACGAACGTGTCATTAAAATTAAGAACGAGATTTCTATATGTTGAGTTGATTAGAATGACATATTTTTGTACGCTCGTTGAACGCTCGTTGCTAAATCGATCTGCATCTTGTTCACGATCGGCTGACGAGAAGCAGAGGCAGCTCGAAAGCCAGATAGGATTGTGAAAGAAACGAAAGAGAGAAAAGTCGAAAAGATAGAGAAAGAGAAAGGGAGAGGAAACGAGCTGCGTATAAACTCGGCGACGTGTTCTTGTAGTCTGCGAATTTGTCCCGTAAATTACTCGCCCTGTTTCTGACGTTCAATTAATCATCGTAATTCTAAGTTATCCACCCGACCGACGATACCAGTACTGGCAGCTGCTGAATTATTTTCGAGTTGCAGCTCCGCCCGATCTGAATGAGCTTTCTGTCTGCCGTGTCTCTCACGGAAAAGCCGCGGAAAAGAATAAAAATATCCGCACGCGCGCTTCCAAGAATATCCAGACTTCGACGCCATTTCTTCTTTTAATAAAGACGCACCTGACGCGAGATTAATAGAACAATAAATGCGAGGGCTTTGCAGCTGGAAATTAAGAAAATTCTCGCGAATATATTATGCGATAGTAAATACTATGCGAAAGTAAAATTTAATTTAAGTAAAATTAATACGCAAATTACATTTTGCGTTCACCAATATAAATATATTTACATCATGAAACGCCGATGAAAATCGCTGGGCCGGAAAGAGGGTCAATCGCACGCGAAATGTCGCGAGGATTGGTCGGGCGGCCAAGTTACGTCGAGAAACAAGTTGCTCGCCGGTTCCGGACCGGCATTGGCATTTAACGTGATTTATACCGGGAGTTTTGCCGGCGGGGACGGAGAGCGGGTTCGTGCCGTTTGGCGCGTGCTGTAATATCCTCGTCGTTTATCGGTCTGTGCCCGATAATGAAATGCGACTTCGGGCTCGACGCGGCGTCCCATTGTGACTCCGCCTAACTGGAGATTACTACGGATACCTGTTGAACACCATTCACCGGATTGAATCCCGCATTCACAGTTACACGCAGCCCCGCTGTTTCTCTCCTCCAGCTACGAACTATATACGCGACCGACTTACGGCCGGCCTACGCGACGCCCCGACCGCTATTGTTAAACACCGCGCCCGCGATCGCGCGCCAGTGCAAACTAGGCGCGCGGTAACTGCAGGTGTAAATGGAAACGGGGGCGTTTCGCGCGGAGGAAATATAGGTGTTTCATCGCGACGAACACACAACGCGGTTCGCAGCACACGGCATCGTTTACACTCGCGACATCAAATGCAGCTGCGCCAAGAAGCTGCTCGTTACCTATCTGAGAAATTACGATTTTGTATTACAATGGAAATAGGGGTGGACACTTTTGACTTTTCTGTAGATCTCATTCAAGCGAAGGAGGAAAAGATTTCAATAACACACAAATATATTTTATTCCTTTTGTTGTATATGCGAAATATATTTTCTATACACACATATAACGTGCAGCGCAGGCACCCTAG